TTTTTTTTCAAGCATTTCCAGTCTCTTTGTCTTCTCCCTGTTCTAGATAAACATCTCTCTTTTTGTACATATTGTAACCTGGAGTCGATACTTGGTTTTTGAGTAATAATCATCTCTACCTCTTATTTTCTTTCAAAACAGTCATTCTTAATAATTCATAGAAGGGAATTATCAAATTTTGCTAATATTAGCCTCTAGGTTCTCGAACAATCTTCTCTCTCTGTGTAATGATATCGTAAACCGCAGAAGGTTAAAGTTGCACTCCCGGGCTAACAATAAACCCAAAAAATGGTGCGTACTTGTCCTGCGATCAGGATCCAGTGCGGCTCGTTGAGTAGGGGCAGCGGCCGACTCTTAGCCACGGAAATGGAGAACGCAAAAGACGAGTTTCGCGTTACTGGAGCACATCATTGAATAAATCGTTAGGATTGCCACTAATTCAGAATTAGGGTATTTTCTATAGCGCGCAGTTTAGCGAGCCCAACAACATTGGCACAGATCTCGTGGCAGTCTTGGAGGATTTTCTGAATCATTGAAGGCAGCGGCTCGGCAGAAATTCGTTTTCCGGTTTTTCACCTTTTCGGGACCTTGGCCATGAGCAACCAATATCTGGGTTTTTTCGCGCATGAAAATGGCGAAAATGAGCTTTTCTTGAGGCTTTCCAGGTCCGCATGTGCAAAATACGCGTAAGTGGGCGGAGTTTGAAAGAAGAGAGGCGGGGCGCGGAAGATTTCCGGCGTATTTGCACTGAATGCGGACGGAAAGTTTGAGAACGGCTCATGTTCGCCATTTTCATGCGCGGAAAAAGCCCAGATATGGGGTTCTCATGGCGATAAGGTCCCGAAAAGGTGAAAAATTGGAAAATGAAATTCTGCCGAGCCGCTGCCTTCAAGACACTCTATCGATATACTGACACCTGTTTTTTCTCGACTTTATTGGTTGCTCTGGAAATGCCGTTTTTTTTCTTACCTCGTTTCCATGTCTTTCTTCTGTACGATTTTCTTGATTTTGTATTACTTTGAGATTCGCCTTGGGCCTATGAAAATTCAGCTAGCAAATTCATGCAAAAATTTCAGGTATGACATCAGCTGAGGTAGACTCAGCAGTTGTGGCGAATTCGAAAGATAGCATCGAGCCACAACTGCCCGATTCGGGAAATGCCTCAGTCAGTGGGTCGCCAGATTGTGTTCACACAAACGGTTAGTTTTGTACTGTTACAGTAGTTTAGTTTCTGGCCCATTTTGCATCTTTTCGCTAATGTCTGCCTAATGAACCTTCTTTGTGTAGCTCCATCAATTTGGAGACGGATTAGGCTATTATAACGGAGGCCTCTGTTTTTAATCGTGTCACGAGGAAAAGGTTTAAAATTTAGGTGAAGTGGCGGAAGCCGATGGGGCAGCCAAGGGACCACCACAAGAGACGGTGTTCTCTTTGACCATACAGCCGACAGTTGGCGACTCTTTCGATCTTCAGGTAGGTATTCAACTTACTAAATCTGTGCGATGTTTCAGTTCACTCGGTTGTTTATATGTATTCTACTGCAAATTTTGATTGGAAAATACAAGTCTTGACTGGGAAGCACTGAAGGGTCCTATTGTATCGCTTTGAAGCTCACCATTCCAAATCGGAACCGCTTTGCAGAGGTTCTTCATTTGACACACTGTTAGGCCTCGGGCAGAGTTCACGCTATCTGAGGCGTGTCCGGGCAAAAACTCGATTTTGAGATTTTGTGCTTAGTCGGCCTACGAAGACGTAGTCCGCGGCATCGAATGTTCTTAAAGGCAGTGTTCGGGCAAAAACTCGATTTTGAGATTTTGTGCTTACCCAGGTCTATTCGTTATGCTGAATCCGAAAATCACACTGGAGAGAGCGAAAACGGCGAAAATGGCTCTAAGGCAGAAGGGAAATCAGCAGGGGGCAGGGTCTTCCGCAGGGCGGATTCATGCTCCTAGCTTCTGGAGCAATCTTCTCG